GAGAAGCTGCCAGAAACCTCAGCGGGATGGGAAGGGAGGTGGTGAGCAGTCAGGTAACTGGGCCAAGGTCTCCTGAGAACTCAAATTCAAGCTGGCCAGGCCACCTTCACCAGGCTTTTATGAGCTTCATCTGCCAACTTCAAGTCTCCCCTGACCGCCTCAGCCTCATCTGGAGTTTCCCCTCCCCTTCTTCTGGCTTCAGTTGCCACTCCAGCGCCCGATGGTCCTAATCCTACCACAGTAAACCTGGGCTAGAGTCACCAGGAGCAAGGAAGGGCAAGTCCCAAGCTCCCTTGCGAGTCTGTCCACTCCCACTCACAGTACCCAAGAGACTTTAGGCCAGAGCAGACGCAGGCCAGATGGTGTAAGAGCACATTCAGCCCGGGTCTAACCAGGATGAACCCAAACCCTGAGGAAAGCTGGGCTGTATGAGGCTGATGAGCTTACTGTGCTGCTGCTGTTACTGTTTTCTGAGCACCCCTGGGTGCTGAGCACCGTGCTGGGAGTTACGGATGTAAAGCCCCATCCTGCGGATGTTCCATATCCACGCAGGATGACAGAGTAGCTTCCGTGGGAGCGTGTGCCCCGGAGCCCAACACACAGGGATGCACAGAGACACACAAACACACCTGGAGACCACGCCTGTTTTCACAGCCCTAAACAGGATGGCCCTAAAACGCCCAGCTTGGCTTCAGACAAGCAATGTGCTCACTTCGCAGGGTACTCTACAGCAGGTGTCCCCACAACATGGCAGGCTGGTGGGCCATATTGGTTGTGTCCCAGCTACTCCGCCATCACAGATGGTCTATGAACAGAAAGCACTGCCGTGTCCCAGGAAAACTTAGGTATGGACATGGGAATTTGAACTTGGCATAATATTCATGTCACAAAATATTTTTTTCTTTGGCTTTCTCCCCTGACCCCAAACCTTTGAAACATATGAAAAATCCCTCATAATACTCTCAGGCCATATCAGGGAGGTGGAGAGCTGGTCTAGGGGCCGCAGCCTGACACTGCGAGTCCGTAGCAGAGACAGATGCCACCTACCTCTTATCAGCGGCATATACCTTAAAAGGCATAGTGTTGAGCCAAAGAGACACACCACAGAAGAATACACACAGCAGCATTTAAGTCAGATCAAGTTCAAAAGCAGACAAACTAGGCTCCCACATGCTTTAGTGTGTGTGAGTTTCCATTCCCAGGGCTGAGACAAGAGAAACTACTCTACCATAGTGACTTTGTGCTAAATGATGAAAGTATAAAGAAACAGGTCCAGGCTTACCAGCACCCCCATGTCCACGGTCATTCAGAAGAAAACAATACCTCTAAGGGAAGAAACAGCGTCTCTGGAAGAATGTCCTAGAATGTTCCAGAATGTTCTCTCTCTTGCCCCGTGTCTCAATCACACCACATGTTTTTTTGGGGGGGGGATTGTATTTGTTATTCTTCACTGTACTTTTCAGTATGTGATTTATATTTCACAGTGACAATGAAGAAGGCATCGAGGACAGGACCTACTGGGACGGCGCCTGAATCTCCGCCAGACCGGCATTATAATCAGCTGGCAATGGTCTCATACCCCACCGCTCTGGGAGAATTTCCTCTTCAGTCAACAGAACCTCTCACTCTTTCTTCCCCCGGCTTTGTCTTCTGGCCTCCCGGCCTTTCCCTGCTGTGCCCGTGTGCCATCTCACCTGCTCTGCCCCTCTGGGTCCAGCCCCCAGCCTATGCCCTCTCCAGCAGGCAGCCTTTCCAGCTCTCCCTGAGCCCACCTCAGCACCGCTGCCTCTCTGCAGGCCTCTGCCTCCCAAGCTCTTTATTGGGATTAAACGAAGATGAAAGGCAGGGGCTAGTGGTGACAGAGGCTGGAGGGGCAGGAAGGGAGGCAGGAAGCCTTAGCTTGCAGAAGGCAGTGCTACTATTCATGTTTGGGGAACAAAGGGAGTGGTGACATCTGAGGCCAGAGAGCACAGTCAGACGCACGCGTGAACTCCATCTGGGTCCTGTTCCCTAGGACAAGTCTCATGATCTCCACCCAGCTGCGAGAGCGGCCTGGGCCTTGTTCACGTCTGTTCCCCATGGCGTCTAGAGACCTGTGGCCCCGGAGGCTCGGCAAGCCACTTCAATTCACTTCCTCCTCCACGGGTATTTGAGAGAGAAATCAGCAAAGCTCCAAGTTTAAAAACAGTCAAAAGAGAAAAAAGGCTGACATTTGTCAAAGACACTGAGGCCCAGACACAAGCAGATTACCCCAGGTCACACAGCAGTCAAAAGATGCATTTGAATCCCAGCATTTGAAAAACTGAGGCAGGAAGATGGATGGAGAGTTTGAGGCCAGTCAGGGCTGTACAACAAGTTCCAAGCTACATGTTGAAATCGTGTCTCAAGAAAAGAAGGAAGGACTAGCAAGATGGTTCTATGGGTAAAGGCACTTATGGGGTAATCTTGGCAATCTGAGCTCAATCCCCCAGAACCCGTGTAAAAGTGGAGAGAGAGAACTGGCTCCACAATGCTGCCCTCTGGTCTGTGAGAAACACTTGCACCACACACCCAAACAATAACAATAATAAATAAAATAAGAGGGAGGAAGAAGGAGGAAGAGGAAAAAAGGGAGGAGGGAGAGAAGGAGGACTCTTAGAGTATCAGGTATGGTGATGCAAGCACTTAGGAGGAAGCTGAGACAGGAGGATTGCCATAAGTTGGAGGGTATTTAGGAAGCCCTGTTTAATGAGTGAGCAAGAGAGAGAGAGAGAGAGAGAGAGAGAGAGAGAGAGAGAGAGAGAGAGAGAGAGAGAGAACGCTTGCGTGGTGCATGGATGTATGGGAGAGCCCTTAAAGCTTGCGGTAGGGGAGTGGGGGAAGAACAGAGCTGTGATGGGCAAGGGGCAGGACTAAAAGAGGGGCTGTGTGTTCCTGTAAGCAGCTTCAGAAGCGAGGGAGCAGGTTTTATTTTCTCATGCAAGAGCAGGAAGAACTTCTCTATGGCAGAGGGTTTGTTGCAACACAGGGGGAAAAAGATCTGTTTCTGTTTTTGTTTGTAGCTCACCCTCTTTCAAACCAGCTTTCCTGCGGCTGAAGTGGCTTGGCCAGCAAAGCCTCCTCCAACTCAGTCCTTGTCCTTTGGAGGGGAGAACCACACAGAGAAAAGATGGGAACCTGGGGGACAGTAAGTTAAATTGACTAAGTGGGGCTTTTTTTTTTCTTATTTTAAAGTAGGGAATGAGGGTTGTTGAGGCAGGATCTCACTCTGTGGCCCAAGCTAGTCTGGAACTAATAGCAATTATCCTGTCTCCAATTCCCAAGTCCTGGGATTACAGGCACAGGCCCCAACACCCCACTTAAGTGGAGGTTCAAACACACTGTCAGCAACAGGCACCGTCTATCTTTTGGCTGGTTTTACATAGGCCTGGGGTGAGCAGCGTGGCACACACTGAAGGAGACAGAACACAGGGTTTGTATCCCAGCCTGCTATAGAGGCTGCACAAACTGGATCCTGCCTCCCCAGTGTAAATGTTCCTATGGAGAATGTTCTTTGCAAAGAAAGTAACGGGACCAGCAGAGCCTCCTGGACAAGGTTCTGGCTGGGCCGAAGCTGAGTCTGAAAATGACGCTAGCCCATAGCCTAACCTCTATTCTACTGCCTGACTTCACGTGGACAGACCTCCGTGGATTTGTCTCCCGCTCAGTGAATGGGGGCGGAGGACATTCAGTGCCGGGTCTATGTGAAGGTTCAATAAACACTAATTCCTGGTTATCAAGAGAACTGTTTGTGATATAAATGGAAAGGGGGACGTGACTCGAGCAGGGCAGAAGCATCCTCATCACCTCCTCAAGGTCAAAGCAGCACTGGGGAGGGGCCTCAGTGGGAAAAATGCTTGCAGCACAAGTGTAAGGACCTGAGTTCAAATCCCTAGAATTCACATAAGTCACAGTGGCATGTGTCTATAATCCTGTTGTTCCTGCCACAAGCCTGGGGGACACAAGCAGAATCCTTGGAAGCAGGCAGGCCAGCCAGCCCGGCGTGTGCAGCAGTGACGGACAAACAGACAAACAGAGAGAAATGCTGTCCCAAACAAGGTGGAAGGCAAGAAGACCTGAGGTGAGTCTCCGACCTCTGCACGCTCACCACGGCACGCACACGCTCTTATCAAAGAAATAAAGAGAAGTCCGACTGAGAAGGAAGAGCGTTCGGTTCCCACAGTGGGACACCTTGGGTCAGTCACGTGCCAGCTGCTAGCCAGGCCAGGGCAAGGGCAGAGCACCTGGCAGATTTTCCCCAGCACTTCCAGGGAGTGGTGCTAGCTATCCTGAGAAGGACACCTCGGAGCTCCACTGGCCTGGACCAACTCGCCCCTGCCCCACAGCCTGCTCTGGATCCAGACCTTCCTGATTCCAAGGCAGCCTGGAACCAGGAAAAGGCAAGAGTGTTGGCTCTGGGGAGACTCACTGGGGTCAAAATGCTGGGCCTCCGGCTGTGTTTCTGGAAGTGGGAAGTGTGGCCCCTCTCTAGTGGCCTTAACAGCAACTGTGCCCCCAGACGCCACGCTCTGGCTGGCTACCATCCTGTCCCTGTCCTCTACAGTGAACCAACCACCAACAATAGCACCCAGGGCAGCTCTGCCACCTGGCAGATTCAACATGAGAAGTCTACCAAAGCCCCCATGTCAGAGCTGTTTTTCCCTGTGCAGATTCCTCTCCTGACCTCAAAACCCACACCCACCCTCCTTGTTTAAGGACCAGGGGCCCAAGCTATGCTGTCAGTGAAGCTGTTAACACCGCGGTGAGGACACGGCGCTGTCCCCCACCCCTTCAAACGCCACCTTGGCGAGGCATTAGCTAAACATCTCCTGAGTCCCCAAAGGCTTCCCCTGTGAAGTCTACAATATTCAAAAGCAACCAGCAAATCCCCAGAGACAGGTCCCGAGAATTAGCTGCTCCCGCTGGATGAAAGACACTCTGATGTACGTGAACAAGAGGACGTGAGGAGGAGACAGACTTGCCTGCTAGCTGCAGGGTCCAGGGCACCAGCAGCAAACGGAGGAACCACCAAGCTGGGAGGCAGCTGGGAGGATGCAGGCATCCCATCCCAGCCCCACACCGTGGAAACCAGCTCTCCATCCAAGGCAGCAGCAGCCGCTGTGAATGGGACACTTCATCAAAGTCTTTCTTCCTCTTTAGCTCACTTGAGGCTCTGGCCCCTGCCGGCAGCCACAGTTCCCTTTTGTGTCCCAGTAAGTTCCTCCTCTGGACGCCTTTCTGCTTCCTCAAGCTGTTCCCCTTAACTCCGACTTCCCTCTGAAATAGTGGGGGCAGCCTTAGTGGGGGTTCCGACAGAGAAACAGGCTGGGACTCCAACTTGTCAAGCCACACAGTAGGAAAAGAGCTAGGGGTGAGGACCTAGGCCTCCCCAGGCCAACATCTGTCTGTTTCTGTCCTCCTAGGGCCCTTGCAGTACAGGACCCCTGTCCAGGAAATAGCGGTGCTCCTTGGGTTGGTACCTTACACTTCTAAAACCCTGAAACCGGCCACAATCCCACCTGCTCATGTTCCTGCACCCCTTGATAAGGCATCCTGAAGACTAGGGTTTCTTTGGGGCGCAGGTGGCTGGAGCACAGGGCGGGGGAAGGGTACAGTGGAGGGGTGGAAGCTGACTGCAAGGCCGAAGGGCCTGAGCTACTTGTCCCAGCCTCCGCAGGAACCTAACACCTCCAGGTGTGAGAGAAGGCACTGGCCAAGTAGGGCCTGGTAAGGCCCTTCAGAGAAACTCCTGGTTCACCTTAACTGTCCCCATTCCTCCTGGAGGTTTCCCTAACCTGGGTTCACCCTGTGCTCCCAAAATAAGACACAGGCACTGCTTTCCCATGACCTCTGCTCTCACTGGCCCCACCTTTCTAGGGGCGCCAGCACAGTGAAGATCTACTGCCAACCCTTAGCAGACGCTAGGGAGAACTCTTGAGGTCCTGGAGCCTTATGTCTGTCACCTGAGTGGCAGGGGGTTGAGCAGGCAGGTGGAGGAAATCAACAGGAAGGGGGCTGAGTGCCAGACCTGCTGAGTGCTGGCTTTTCTCATTAGTGCCATCAACCTGAGAGAAAGGCTGCACGACCCCACCCTACCAATGAAAAACTGCAGCCTGAAGAGGTGAAGCAACTTGTCTACAATATGGACAAGTCTGTGGGGGCACGACCTGGAAGGCCAGACAGAATCACACCTGGATTTTCTTTGCTATTTTCAGACACCACGGTGGAGGCTGGGCGCATGGCTGAGGTCCCACGACATCACCACGGGGCTTTTGTTAGTGTCTTGCCTAAATCCCTCCCCTTTGCCGGCCTCTTGCAGTGAAAGCTGCGGGGTGTTCGGGAGCAGGAACCCTGAGGCTGGAGTGTAGCAGCAAGCTGCCATAGGCCACCCACCCGCTGAGGAAGACGCGAGCAGGAGAAGATGCAGCGTGAAGGGGCGGGCCGGGACCCAGGAGGTATTGGCTGTTGATCCATCAAGGTGATACATGATCGCGGGTGTCACAGCGAAGCACGGATAATCTGCTTCACGCCGCTCCCCAGCTCCTGCCGGGAGCAGGTTGTCTAAGCACTCCGGTGCCATGGTGATAGACGTCACGTTAATGCCTCCGGTGCACACAGGGAGCATTTTAAAGGCTTCGGTCTGTGCCTCCGCGAGTTTCCTCATGACTTGGCACCTGTGCGGCACCGGCTTCTCCAACACTCGTGCTGCCCCCGTTCCTGCCCAGGTGCCAGCTCGCTGCTCCCGCCTGCCTGCGCTCGGCGCTGCTTGGCATCCCTGAGACAAGCCTCGGTCCCTCATAGCCTACCCGCACCTACGCTGCAGGCAGTGGGGGGACCTCATGGGTCCCTCCTGCACACCTAACAAGCCATCCGCTCTCCTGTCTCCTGCAGACCCTCAGCTCTACAGACTTCATCCCTGAGAAGGATGTTTGCTCAGAGGTCAAGGGCTGCCCGGGTTCCGGGTGGGGCTGATGAGGTCACCCAGGTGACCACACGCAGGAAATTAAACCATAGCCCATTCAGAAGCCTAATGGTCGCCACAACTTTCCAGCTTCCTGTCACCCAGTGCTGTAAATGGCAGACCAGCTGGACTCCATTCCATTCGTTGGTGTTTTCCTGGCCTGCGCCCTGGGCAGGAGCCGCGAACAAGCAGAACGAAGGCCCGGATGGTACTGAAGAGGAAGACAGAAAAGATTGAGGCGTCACAGCTCTGGGCTATGCCTTCGAGCTTGACTTTGTAGATGACCTCCCTGGGGACAGCACCTCTTGGTCACGGCTTGAGTCTTGCTACGCACCCACCCACTTACCCCACCCTTTACATCTCGCTGGGCACACCCTCTACCTAAACTGCTGGCCTTCTGAACAGATATAGAAGGGTGAGAGAGCCCAGCTTTGAGGAACCCTGTCTGCAGGGAACCAGATCAGGATGCCTGTGTGGCCCAGCCTAGCTGTTGATGTCAAATATCTCTAATTTAATGCTCCTGGCAAGTTTATGCAACAGGTACATAGAATGCTCCCATTTTATAGATGCAGAAACTGAGACATGGGCAAGACAAAGTAGTTTCTAGCCAGTAGTCTAGTCCGGTGGTTCTCAACCTTCCTAACACTGTGGCCCTTTAATATAGTTCTTCATGATGTAGTGACCCCCAACCATAAAATTATTTTTGTTCTTGCTACTTCATAACTGTAATTTTCCTACTGTTAGGAATTATAATGTAAATATCTGTGAGTTCTGATGGTCTTAGGCGACCCTGTGAGTCTTCTGACCCCAGAGGGAGGGGTCGGGACCCACAGGTTGAGAACAGCTGCACTGACTGAGTACCTGGAGAGTCAAACAGCACACAGAGCAGAGGGATGCCGGGGAAGGAGCAAACATGGTGGGTTCCTAGCAGGGCTTCATGGACGGCCCTGAAGGACATGGTCTCTCGCAGTCCCCCATGGGCACCTGCATACTAAGACTAAAACACCAGCCTTCATGTTCCATTTACTTCATGGATGTTTCTAGTGTGTCAGGCAGTGAAGATAGAAAACCTAAATCAGAATTTTGCCCTCAGAATGTCCCAAGACAAACAGACCCCAGAAAGGGAGCTGGGACCCAACCGCTGCTCCCTGGCCTGAGCTGGGAGGATCCTCTTCCAGAGGCAGAAGTGCCAGGACAAGAGATCCCTGGCCCAGCTTCACGTCACCTCTGTCTCCCCAAGACTCCAGTTCCCAAGAAATCTATCAGCAAGGAGACCCTGGCCAAGAGTGATCCTCTGTTCCGCCCTGGTAGTTAAAACATGAGGGACCCATTCTGTTGGTCCTAGGGACACTTCTGTCTAGGATGTCAGAGGGACATCTTCCTGTCCTCCTAGTACCTCGTGTACCCAACAGGGGCAAGGGCAACCTTCTGTCTAGAGACACTGGGCTTGCATTTGGGAAGGACCCTCTCTGGTACCATGTAACTGATCTGCAGTTAGGTGCTGCAGGCCTCTGGCTGAGCCAACCATCGGCCCGGCAGGTCTGACCGGGTCCTCACCAGCACGAGGCAAGAGAACTGTCAGTGACTCCAGAATGGACGTTGATACAACCATGTGTTGATCCGCAGTGGCCACCTCCTTACCTAGGAGGGGATGAACTCAGCCACTGGAAGCAGGCAAGCCCACCTGGGACCCATCACCCCGCATGCTGATGGGAGGTTCCTGCCCTGGCAAGAAGCCCAGGCTGGCCCGTCTCCAAATCCCTTCTCAGTTCAGGCTGCCCTATATCTTTGGCTGTTCCTTCCACATCAGACCTAGTTTTAAAGGCTTCTCGTATGTGTGCTGCCTCCACCCTCACGGAAACCTCGTGTGGGAGGAATTATCGTTGCCCCTAATTTACAGATTAGGAAACTGAAATCCAGCGACTCAAACCGCTTGCCTCAAACCCCACAGCGAGGAAGCGGCCAGGTAGGAACTCGGAATCCTGCAACTGCCCTTTGACCCTGTGTGCTCTTGCCGTCCTCCGGATTTTCCAAAGCTGCTGTCCTAACCCTCATTTTGCAAATATAATGAGAAGAATAGGATAAACTACCTGTTTGGAGGTGGCAATGGGGATCAGAGGGCCTAAGACCAGTACCTGGGGTTTGCCAGATAAATGCGCACCCACAATAAGACCGGTGTCTATAAATAATGAAAAACAAAGGCATTCCAACATTTCTTTCATGTTCACCATGCAATCTTGCGGGGCTCTTGACACGGCTGTGTCACTGGAAGAAACAAGCACCACCCAGGAAGCTAATTGCTGGAGGTCCCAGGGAGCAGCTGTCAAAGCTGAGTCCTGTGCTTCTGCCTCGGGATTTCCCTTCTGGCCATGATGGACAGCCCTGGGACTGGTCTGTGCCGATGGCGCCACCTGGTGGCTGACATGGGAATGCCCTCAAATGAGACGCTCCCACCCCCCCACCTCCTCCCCACCCCCTTTTAAGGAGCCTGGGCCACTCAAGAGGCCACCACCTTGCCAAGTTAGGCCCGGGCATGAAGGGCGGCAGGGTGGGGCAGTAGGACAGAGGTCAGGGAAAGGCAAGGATACAATGTGTCCAGGAGGTGGCAAATCGACCTGCTGAGGCCCTGCTACTCTTTGGAGGTGAGGAGGGAGGTGGCCAATTCACTTCTTCCAGACAGCGACATCTACTGGAAGCCCTTTCTAATCTCCTCTGGGGGAGCCTCCTCAGCTGCTCACTGACCGCCAAGCAAACCCACCCCATCTTCTGGAGGCACAACCAGGGACTTTCCAGACGGGTTCTCCAGGGGCAGTCTCAGCCAATTAAGGGAACAATTAGCTTCCCTGAGGCAAACTCATGCTTTGTCAACCCAGCTCTGTGGTTCTATGGGACTTGTGTATACAGCCCCCCCCCCCCCCGTGTGTGCGCGTGTGTGCTGTAATCCCACCTTGAAACTTTGGTGAAGAAAGAATCGAAGAGACCAAGGTGAAATCACTTGGCAATAATAAGGGTAATAACAGAAAGGCAGGTGGTAGCTGGGTGTGGTGGTGCACACCTGTGATCCCAGTACTTGAGAGGTGGAAACAGGAGATTTAAGAGTTCAAAGTCAGCCTAGGCTACACGGGGCTCTATCTCTTCTAAAGACCTTGTGTATAGGTTCCTATACAGGGCAGGTGTTGGAGGAGCAGCTTATAATAAGAGGTTCATCAAGGAGACATGAGGACCACAGACCTGGAGGGTGTGTGCTGATTGGGATGAAGGACTCTGAGGATGACG